GCCCATATACTCCAAAATGATGAAAAATATTAACTAAATAATTTTAAAAGGGATTGATATGGTTAATATTGGAACCCGAGACTCCCATTTACATAAATGGTAATCTAACAAACTAAACTACCATGGCATTATGTGAATAAAAGGAAAGCACAATTATATATCCAAATAAATAAATACATTACCAAAAAAATATTGAAAAATTGAATGTCAGCGAATTCAGCAAAGGCGGCCACCAGAACTCGTCGGGTGTTGGATCTGCCGCTGGTGGTGATGGAGCGAGATGAGGAGGAGGAAAAAAGAGAATTTTTCTTTTTTTTTTTTCTTCTAATTTTTTAATAATTTGTTTGGGACTATTGCACTTTTTTTAAATATTTGAGAGTATAGTTGCATTTAGTTCTTTGTTTTTCTTTTTGTCTTATTTAAATATGAGGATATATTCGTCATTTCATAATTTTTAATTAAGAAATTGGATGGAAATCTATAAAAATGATGATTTAAGCAATGAAATGTGTAATTAGGGTGAAAATGCAAAAAAAAATATAGCGTGGGGGATGTTTTGCACAATGAACTTCAAACGTAGGGAGGTTTTGTGTTAATAACAATTTTACCTTTTTCCAAGTCAATGTGGTTGATTGAGTCGGAATTTCTTCAACTAAAAAAAAAAAAACTTCCCCATGCTCTTTTTGTACCTCATCTACATGTATATCATTGTGTAACTCCATTAGGTACAAATACTATTATTCATTTTCTATATAAAAAAAGCCGAAATACCTAACTTTAAAATAAAAAGCATAAAAGTAATATTATACATAAAACAAACATGGCCTTTTATTTTTTCGAACTCAGGAGGTCTATCTATCCGATGAATACTCCAATTGTCAATACAAATTAACATAAATAATTTCTTTAAATTTAGTTCGAAATGTCCCCACACCGTTGATTTATGGACTCCAAGGATGTATAACGTTGGATTCAACTTATAGCTTTTTTTCTTTATTTAGTTGAATGAATTATTGTCGATAGTTGTTAATGATAGCGTATACTATATATATCGAGTAGGCTCACGGAGAGTCTGCAAAACATATTGTTTCATTAGATGTAATTGAACTTAAAAACAGATAAATATCTTATAGGTATTCTTCTTAAGCTTCATGCACGCCTTCGCTGGTTAGTTTCTTCTCACTTTTAGTCACCTTGATTACTTGTCCAACTAATGAGCTTAGCAATCGTTCGTTTTTCATATTAGAACATTAGGTGATTACTTAGTTTATAAATCTTCATTCATGCTTCTTGATAGTCCGATGTGACAACAAACATGTAATCGAAACTAATAGTCCCCCGCAGGTTGAGCAGACAAAAATTTTCTATTCTTTAAACTTCATTAGCTGTCTTCAAAGGGACGTCTCAATTAAAATCCAAATACAAGGATCTTTTATTTTTACGACCATTTTTTCTCATACAACTCGATTCCATTTTCTTGTCTCTTTAGATGCAACATGAGAAAAATTTACGCAATCATTGTGATAAATTTTTTTGAACACAAAAAGTTTAACTACCCATTCCGTACCTTGCACTTATTGAACAAAAATAATACTTGTAATCCTTAATTTGTCTATGGTAAATTTTACACGTAGACCCATTTTTGGTTTCTGTTTCGCCTCTTGTACATTTGTATTTAGACATAGAATTTGCTTGCCGTTGATTATGAGGGATGAATAAAAGAAAAATCAAGAAGTTTTGTTATGTCCAAAAACAAGAGAGCGGTTCTAAAAGAAGCCCTAAGAACCTGGCAAAAGATAATAAAATTTTTTTTTTTTAAAAAAAAGGAAGCTTATAAATTTGAAAATCATATTCGACTTAAAATAAATCCTGTACTTGTAGAAAAGGATGGTCTCGATGTTCCTCCGACTCTGTACAACAAGTTTCGCATAAGGATTTTCCTCTCTCTCTCTGACCATGATTTTTTTCTTGAAAAACTCGACATTTTTGGTTCTGTTTCAGTAGAACACTAGAACTCCTGTTAATGTAAGTATGCATAATGCATTATGTAAGAAGTTCTAGATTTTCAGGTGTCGGACGAAAGGCTGAGAAAAACTAGTTTTCTTAGGACCAGGAAAAACGTGATATTACCTGAATATAACACTTTCCTTTTAGAATCAGGAGTTAGTTGAATCAAAATTATCTTAAGAAAGGTAATTTAGTGTAATGAATGTTGGAATTTGATTTAAAGATGGCAAAAATTTGGTTATACAACTTGAAAAGTGACTTTGGTCAATTTCGGCCAAATATTCAGACTTGATCCAATAGTCAGATTAAAAATATAAATAGAGTACCTTGTTCTACTTGTTGAGTAGATCGTCGTAGTATATTTGAAATCTCACAATTAATTCCGGATGAATGAGAAATTGAGGTCCAAAGTCGGGAAGAAAATAGAGGACGCTGTCTGAAAAATTGACTNAATTCCGGATGAATGAGAAATTACAATCCAAAATTGAAATGAAAAAGGGTAAAAATGGCCGGACATTTGCGACAACAAGGGATGCTTCCTTTCTTGTAGGTTGCTAACTTTGGGACCTGACACTTCACTCACAACCTCTCATTTTCTATAAATATGACTAGAGGTGTCAAGACGGACGGGTCCACCATACCCGTGAAAACCGGCCCGGATCGACCCGGGATGGCGGGCCAACCCATGACCCGAGCAGGCGGTTCACGGGTCAAGGAGGTGTGACCCGCGGGTTTCGCGGGTTGCACCTTCACGATCTGCGGTTAATCTGCTGGCCCGTGAAATTTTTTTTTTAATTTAAAAAGAAGGGGGAGAGAGTAAGATAAAATTATTGATGATATTCCTGAAGATTTCAAAAATCTTGTAGTTCCTGA